CCTTCCAAACAAACATACATGTGCAATGTATATAAACACATAATCACACATGGAGTACATCCCCTTTCCACTCCCAAATAAACATACATATACAATGTATTTATAGTATGATCATATTCAATGATAATCAACCATGGGATAGTTTCAATTCACCTAATCCACATGCAATTTCTACAACAATCAAAGCTATCCTCCACCGATTGCCCAATATAGATATATCTAAACAGATATACATGTATAAATATTCTCAAGACAGATCATTTATTCCAAATTCCCAAAGATGAGACACATCATCTATTTCATTCCACCATCCATTTCAATACTTGTCCAATTCCATGTTTGCAACATCAATCTCATTTATTTATACAAAATAAATATAATACTCATTTTAGGGTAAATTCTCCATTTTTCCCAAATCTCAACCGAGCACCAAAACCAACTATTTTGATACAACAAGGCTTCATTTTCAAACCCCATAATCATTTGTTTCATTTTTACCAAAAACCCCTCTTTCACATTTTACCCAAACCCTAGGTTGGTGTTTCAAAATACTCCTAAACCCACCATTGTTACACATTAGACAAATAACTAAGTTAAAAATTATATTAAAGTGTAGAAACTCCTTACCTCAAGTGTAGAAGCTCAAAGAAGAAGTGAAGAGATCACAAAGATGCCCAAACTTGACTTTACTTGGATCAAAATGTAGATCTTAGGATGCTCCAACTTTTTATCAAAGGGAGTAGGGTGGAGAAATCAATAGATCTAGGTCACAATGTAGAGAGAATGAGAGTTTTAGAGAGAGAATGTCTAAATCTAGGTTTTAGGAGAGTTTTAGAGAGAGAGAGAACCGAAAAAGTGATATAAAAAGTCATTTTCGCGATCTGATATACGCATAGTCCGCTCGAGCGGAGATTTTGACTTTCGAGCGTCAGACACATAAATTTGTCCCGCTTGAGTGTAAGAAATGCCGCTTGAGCTCCAAGACACAACAGCAAAGCAATACTCGCACGAGCGCAAGAAGATCCGCTCGAGCATAGAATACACACTTCTAGTATTTTTACAGACTTCAAACAGCCGCTTGAGTGCAAGAAAGGTCATTCGAGCGTAGTCCCGCTCGAGCGTAAGAAATGTCGCTCGAGCATGAAAAACACTTCTCCAGTATTTTTTGTAGATGTGCAAAGTATTGAATGTTTGCAAAACCCGCTCGAGCGCCAGAAGGTCTGCTCGAGCGAAAGACCGAAATTATGGGCAACAAAGTTCTAGACCAACTAGCAACCAACCTGTTTTAAACACGCTCAAGACATTCCAAAACTCAAATTCAAAGAGTAAAAGGGGAAAAAGGCATAAATAACAACATTAAACCACAAGACCCGAGTCCGGAACACCATAAAAGCCAGGTAAAAATCCGGGATCGCTATACTCGTCCTCCTCTAATGACCTTTCCATTGCATTGTTTTTTGTGTCGGATGACATATTGTTTTAGCTACCTCACAATAACGCATAATTATAAAAAAAAAATGATTAACAACATGCTAACTGTTACCAATATTGGTGAAACTAAAATAAACCATTGGCTATAATTTGTCGGCCTTACTCATTTATCGAACTAGATGGAAATATACATATGAAGAAAAAATATATTAATATTTAGTCATATTGTTATTACTACCTTTTCATATTGTATGTTGTGTGTAAAATTGAAAGTTGAAGCAGAAATAAGAAAACAGACATGAAAAGAACGCAGAAGAATAAAATCACATCTAAATGTAAAACATAAATAGTTTCAGAAAAATAAAGAAATAAACAGAGAAAGATGAATAAAAAAAAAACATGTCATCAGGTGAAAAAAAAATTAATAAAAACAAAATAGGCATCATCAAATCATGTTGCATAACTACAAAGAGAACCGTAAGCTTGATCAAGCCACAACTTCTCCCTTCACTACAAAGCTAGGATCATAGCTAGGCGGATATGGGCAGAAGTACGCATAAAAAACCTTTGCCATTCCTTGTCATTGAATAGTGTCGGTGCCCTAATGTACTGGACCGGTGGTATGTCCCCAAGCTCTAACAGGGCATCTTGACATGCATCAAGGGAATAGTCATCACCATCTACACTTATAGCCTTTGTGTCTGTTGATCGGGCATGGGAATGTTCTGCTTTTTGCCTATGTGTAGGTAGTGAAAGCTGCGCAGACATCATCAAAGCCACTTGACCGTGACCTTTTGGAATGACCATTATCAGTCTGGCTATTTGTAGGGCTCCTCTTGTGACTTTTGCCCTTCGATGGTTCTATGTACTCATCGCCGAATAAGTCAACAACAATAGGTTCAGCCGCATTACTCCCACCGGCTCCAAGCGACCAAAATTTGTTAAGCATTTCATCATCTTCATTAGAGTCAGGGGCTCCTTCTGTAGATGCACGGGCCAAGGCCACTGTGGCACAGCAGTTTTCAACAATTTCAGTCATTTCTTGAAAATATTCAAATCCTTTTATCCTAAATTTCTTAACATTTTTTGTTGCCTGCAACAATTGAAAATATTAAAAATAAGCGTACTGTACGTGTGATCAAATGTTACAAAAAAAATTGAAAAGGGTACAGGTTAATTCAATACCTTATTCCCAAATTCATCGGGTGCAACAACCGTTCCCACAATGGGATCCCATCCTAGACTGGCCTGTGCTTGCAATCTCTTGAAGGTTTGGTAATCAGCTTTCAGTCGTTGATATTTTTGTCTCACCTGTTTTGGTGTGTATCGAAACCCATACAGATTTTGCAACTCAGTTGCAAAATGGTTCCAATGCCTAATTGTCTACATAATACTACGGCCTGTTGTTTGATTTTTTTGTACCTCGTCTCTCAACATGTTTATTAGCTTCATTTCAATTCTGGAACTCCACATTCTTGTGTCCTGACTATCATCAGAATTGTTGTCATCTATCTAACAGCGCACAATTTATATCTAAACAAATCAAAATTGGATATTAAAAAATAATAATGCAAGAATCATCAACAATTATGTTTCGGTAGGAAAAAAAATTCATTAATTGAAGTTATTACAGTGTTGGGAAAAACAGATACAACAAGAAAAAGCAGAATATTGCTAGGAAAAAATATTCATCAATTGAAGTTGTTAACAGTGTTGGGAAAAACAGATACAACAAGAAAAAACAGAATATTGCATGCAAAAAGTTTGTGAAACAAGTTTACACAGACAATAAGCAGAAGAAGAGAAGCATCAAAGGGGGTGAGTGGCGGTCGACCTAGAGGAGAGAGCTAGACTGGCAGTCGACCGGCCACTCGACTGGTGGGACAACCAGCCAGTTGTCCTGGCGGTTGACTGGTTTGACAGATCAGAACTATTTTTGCTTCTCAGCTATTACATAGTAGATCGATTGAAGGATTGAAGGATATACGACTAGCAGATTGATTGAAGGATATACGTACCAGAACAGTAGGAGTGGAATAGTTGTCATGGATGTGCGCTTCTTCGGTAGGCGTTTGATTCGAGAATACGCTTCACAAACTTGGTCTGATACAGATAAATTGGGAATGAATGTGGGAATGTTTGAGGAAATCAGTGAGTTATAATTTAAAATTTGAAAGAAATTTGTGATTTATTTGGCCTCGATCTTGTCGTTGTTCAGTTGTTCCGAGTGTGAATCTTCCACAATGCACAAACTGCAACTCACTTAATTTGTGGGAGCTGGTGGATGCGATTTTATGGGTGGAGAGGGGTTCACAAACATGGTTTAGATTTGAAGGTCTCAGTTCATAGAGAGGAACACGACCCATGAAGAATCTTAAGCTGTGATCGTTCAAAGAGAGGAAGACGACTCGTGAAGTTCATCTTTAAATTCTTTCCACATGAAGCTTTTTAGAAGTTTAGCTTTAAATTTCTTTCACGTGAAGCTTTTCAGAAATGGCGAATATCAAAGACACAGAGTATGTACTGTTGGAAGCTTTGCACTGTGGAGAAACGAAGGGAGAAATCTGCCAAATGCAAAGTGGAGATGTATTTTGAATTGTATGGTGGAATTACGATTTGAAAATTATATCCAAACATGAAGCGCAAATGGATGAGTGAAAATATATTTTGAAAATACAACCAAACACAACCTTAAATTATCTTGACATGTGTAACACGCATTAACAAGACTATTTTTTATGAAAAATAAATTTTCTATACATAATTCAAAACAAGAATGGCAAATGGTATTTTTAAAAAGAAATGACTCTTCACTAATTAGTTGTAATCCAATTATCCAATTAGAAAGAGACATAATCCAATTAGAAAGAGACGGTTGGCTTTGGTGGGTCCACTCTAAACCCACTTAAATAATTTAAATTATTCATTTTGTAAAGTTCATAAAAAAAAATAATTTATATAAAAAATCAAATTAATCAGACACTAACAATTAAAGAAGAAAAAAAAAGTAAAACTAATTTTATCAGCAGTAGTTTTATCAGCAATAGACTTGTCTCTAGTCCACAATGACTAGCACTGCTCTCCACGTCCAGTACGCGATGAAGACATTTTTTTTTTTGTGAATTATCTTACACAGACCAAGAAAATGAGCGAAAATGGACCCATGGATCCGAAAAGCAGCGTCCGGACAAGCCCATTGCCGACTGATATGGATTTCAATAATCCGAATGAAAATTATTGCTTACAAAATGTAATTTCACCAGCACCAATAGACTAGAAAATATTCAAAATGAAGCAACAAATAGATTTACTGCAAAACCCTGTCCAAAAACACAGGATCTTAACACCAAACAGCACACCACCAACCAGAAACTACATTTCAAAAAAAAAAAAACCCAAAATAATCTTAAACTTCTGCCAGCTTGGTTGAAGCCAGTGCTACCTGTTGGGCAAGCAATGGTTCAGAGGTGACAAGTCGGGATTCAATATTATTATCCTATCTCTACTCGCGCACGTGTGTGCGCGCGCGCGCACACACACACACACAGTCACACACAGCATGCATCAAATAACACGACGACAAAACAGCATGATATGTGTTTCTGGGTACCCTTTCATTTTTCTTCAGTCTATATTTCTACAAAAATTCACTACAATTGTAAATTACATCTAATAGTGTAACAACTTACACAAACAGCAAAAACGGATTTTCACTTGAGTAATATTTGCAAGAAAATAATGTTGGGCAGACTCAAATGTAACTAGAGTCCCCCAAAAGCAAATCATACATGTTGTTAGGAGTTAGAAGAGTTGTTCCACCAAGAATCAGTTCTATATCAGGTCTCCCACTTTCCGACAATGCCTCCTGAGCTTCACACACCTTGAGATACAATGAGATGACAAAATTACATCATATTTCTGAAGAAAACCAAATAAAATATATTCTGCATATATATAAAATAAAAATAAAAAAGATCAGAAAATATTATTCATGATTCGAAGACATGTTTAACTAAGAAATAATGGAAACAATATGTGTTTAAACTTTCAATCTTGCTATAAAAAAATTAAATTCTCCACAATTTTTTTCTTTTTGAAAAAAGTTGTAAATTATTTAAATTTAAATTATAAAACTAACAAGATTCATAGATCTGTCATATATGTAGAACTACTAAAATAACATCAAACTAAACGACATGCTTTGCTTTGAGAATTCTTTTTATGAATTTCTTTTGTGTTTTTCAGATTTTTATTCTGTTTCAAAATTATTTGAATAGATGAACATCATTGAGATACGTGGAAGCAAGCACTTGCAAGTAAAATTCACTTTTGGCTTCAACATGTTTAAATAAAATTTGATTCTAGATTTTTTTTTATTTTTTTATTTTTTTCTATTTTAAAAACAAATGAATGAATGTATCGATGCTAATACGTAAAGTTAACACCCCCTCTACGAACTCTCATGTTAAGCAAATCCAATTTATACCATTTTCTTTGCCAAATACAGTTATAAATCCAAAACAGTCAAATTCAACATATTTACAATTACATTTAGTTCTGATATTTCTACCCATATACTGATAGTACATAATTGATCATAATTTTTTAACAAAGATTTTAGAATGTACCTAAAACGTGGAATACCAATATGTGGGAGAACATCGGAGAAAATGACAACGTTTACGAGGCTAAGTATTGATTTGTACCTATTTAGCTTCCTTTGCACTATATTGTATTTTGTCAAATTGTAATAGACTACACTAGATCGTGACTATGTTACCAATGGACTGTGTGTTAGATAGCATGTTTTACTTATTCAATAATTCCAATATGTTGTTCCTATTATTTAGAAAATTTTCAATAAATTTTTTTAAGAATATATGTATGTCTCCATTTAACAATCTTATATGCCACAATTAAGTCACATCAAGGCTCCGAAGTGTCATTAGTTTTAACCATGAGTTGTACACATCAAAATCTCTATGTGAGCAGTCAATAGGAGGAAAACTACTCGTTTATTTTCCACTATGGTTTGACAGAATATTTTATGCCTGAAATTGAATGAGCATGTTTTGAGAGAGAGAAAATAAACAAAAACATAAAGTTGCATAAGTTTACCTCAACACCATTAATGCCCCCAATTACAAATACCAAAATAACATTTTGGTCAGCAAGGCTTGGTTTTGCCTGCAGGATAAAGAATCCAAATTCAGCATAGTTATAATATTAATTAAAAACAAGAAATAAACATGTTAGCTGTTAACGAAAAAGAAAGAAACAAAAAAGGTAAGGAAGAAAACAATTATTAAAAAAAATTAGCAGATAGGGAATCACCTGTCCAAGGCCGAACCTTCCAAACCCACTTTTAAAAAGTCGCCCCACAGTAGAGGAATGGTACTCCAAACCTGGTACATCATGCTTTCCCAAGACTCTTATCAGAAGTTTATAAATCAGTCCTTTACTAGAGTAGGGATCAGCATTAAAATTAGTTTCCAAACCCAATGTCCCTCCTCTCAATGGTAAATTCCTCTTCTTCAAACTAGATAATTTGTGAAGGAATTTGAAAAGGTTATCCACCCTATCACACAACTCCAACTTCAGCTGCATGTCACCATACACTTGCTCTTTGTTAATATTTTTATCACCATCTTCATCACCCCAATTACCCCACTGATCATCATCAAAATCATCACTTAGTACTTGCTTCGGAGAATCTACCTTTGCTTCCTTTGAGTTCAATTTGTTAAAATTGGCTTCAAGCTCTTCTGTTAAATCATGGAGAAACTTCAGTTTTGCAACTCCTGGGTTCTCAAGAACGGCATCCACAATAGCTTCCTTCATGAAATGCTCTTCTTGCCAAGAAAACGGACCACCAGAACCAGATGTTGGGAAATTTTCACCAGCCAATATATATCCAGAAACCGCGAGAAGCAAAGCATCTTGGAAAGAAAGCAGCCCCTGTGAAGATTCCTTTGTCTCGGTTTTATTTCCATCTGATCCCACTAAGGCACTCTTATTGATAAGGTCACTAATTTGAGCAGCAAGGCTTTGGCTAGTGTCTCCAGCACTAACATTTAACATTTTCTCAGCACTGCTAAATGCATCCCATTTGGCAGAATGTGATTCATCCAGAGCATATAATGTAGCTGCAGCTAGTTGAATAATTCCTTTGTTTCTCATTAAAGATGACTGGCTTCTAGCCAGTGCTTCAATCAGAGGTTGCAACTCTGATTTTGTTGCAAAACCAGGACGAATTTTCACATTCACATTCACATTTTCCCGACGTAAACTTTCTTGAAGCCACTTTCTTATCAGTATGGCACCATCTTTTTTTTTTCTATCTAGTATGGCTTCCAGATAGGGTGTTCCACGGAAACTTTCTGCTGAGACAAAGGACCCAATAAGAAGCTCGCTCTCAGAATGCATAGATTTTTCACCATGAAGTTTGGAACTGAGATTAAGCAACTCCTCAATTTTAAAAGCTGTGTTGCTAGAATTCCACCCATGTAGAAAAGCTGCAATGCTTTCTAACAGTTGAAAATTAGCTGTTTTAGAATCTTCTTCCCTGAGAAACTTCATTAATGGTATCTGAACATTAAGTGGAGCACGTTGCAGGTCTCCAGGTCCTTGTTTGAGTTGGGTTTGTGAACCTTTCGTGTGGGCAGAGGATGTTGTCCGTTCCCTACGAGGCAAAGCTGAAAAAATACGATCAATGAGTGAGTCACCATGAGAGCATGGAGTAAGAAGATCAAGTGTGCGGTCAATGAGTAACAGCCCTGCTGATCGTTTTCGACGGCCTACATCATAAAGACTTGACATGTCTGTCAATTGCTTCCCAACAGTTTTTGATAAATCGCCGAGGGAGTATATTTCCATTTTCAGATCCATCTACATGTTTTAGAGAAGAATTCAAGGTTGAGGTACTAGAATGAAGTATAATAATCAAGGTAAACAAAAAAATAATTTATTGCGAAGAAGGAAAACCAAAAATGAAAAGGAAAAGGCATATTTATAAGGTTAACCCTGCTGTGGTCATTGGATACATTAGACATTATAAAACAACAGAGAATTGAGACAAGGTTTTCTGAGATTCAGTTTCAACTGTAATCTGTACTACAACAATTCTGACACAAAGGTCCATGACATGTTACCATTTTGAAGCAACAATATAAATGTAAAAAACTGAATAGCTATCACTTGCAAATAGAAAAAAGTTGGTGTCAGCACTGGGAGGGGAACATGTTTAAGTTCAAGCATGTAGAACATTTGTTACCTTTGCAGCCAGATGATAAAGAAATTGTGCTGTAAGGGCAGCCCCAGGAGGGACTTCCTCGCCATCAGGAGGTGAGCCAGTACTTAACGGAGGCAACCCGGGACTAAGGGAATTCTCTTGGTCAACTGACAAGTATGCTTCAGCAACTGATCCCTCTGAAGGTAAGACAAAGACTCTGGGTGAAAAAGGACACAAGATCAAAGGGAAGTGACGCACAGAAACAACCAATTTTTGTCCTACGGCTTCTGCATGGCCTATCGGGTCATCTTCATACGAATCTTTTGCACCTGAACCTGCTTTAAGGGGGGGAGCGTCTTCTTCAGTGGAAGTGAGTTGTGACCATCCTTCATCTTTGGAGGTCAAATTTTCCTTGGACTTGCTTTCTCCCGACTGTCTAGATTTTGCCTCACATCTTTTATGGAGCTCCTCATAATCTTGGACAAGCAAGGATTCATATTCATGAAATGCATCGGGTCCTAGAGGTGAGTCAGGATAAGTAGAGTGAGATACCTGAAATTAATAAAAATTTAGTAAGACCTTCAACCGATACAAGCAATTATATAATAAAAAATTATAGAATAACTATGACAAATGAAAAAATGGAGTTACATAACTTTTAAATGTTATAGCTATAGACATGCAATCCAATCTTTGACCCATGCTAATTAAAAAAATTAGCAACACAGGCGACTCTGTATTGAAATAACAACACAAACCTCCTCTTGATCATGTGCTTAAGTAACGTATTGAAATAACAATGCAAACCTCTTCTGAATGACGACTTATATTTGATGAAGCAGATGATCTCAAAGTTTGATCATCCATGAAGGTAGCTGACAAGGCTTCATTGGTGTCCTGAAAATACGAATATCTTACAGGGGTGCAACACGGGACAGGCCCAACCCGAGTTAGAGCTTGGGTTAAATTTCTCTAGCCTAGCCTGAATTAAATTAAATTTGAGCTTGGGCGAGGACCTACAACCCCAGCAACCCGAACCCAACTTGTGAATATTATATGAAAACCAAATATCCGTCAAAAGTTAGATGAATCTTAGCATCATTGTTAAATTAATTCTTAATCCAATATAAATCGTGTGAAAATCTGATTCTCTCTCTCCATTGAGACACCACATCTCATAATAATTTCTCTCTCCCTCCTGTAAGATTCTAAATGATAGCAATGGCAGCTCTAGTTGGAGCTTCATTCCTGGCAGTTGCAGCATACTAAATGCACCAGAAAATTCCAAAAGGAATTTTGATTGAAACACAAATTGGAAGTGTTTTTCATACAAGGAGAGAACTCCATCCAAGCATAATAAAGTCCTCATGGTTACTAAACCAACTTTGTGAACCATGACTATCCGCTGATCTATAAGAAAGTTACTAGAACCATCCAATACACTTTCAGTAAGCAAGAGATGAAGAAAAACATAAGAAATCTTCTGAACTTCACAGCTATTTTACCACATCAACAAAATACCTCAATCATAATGCTCTCCAAATATCCAACCAACTAAACGAGAATATTAAAGATCACCTTTGACCAATGGCAGAGCCAATGTAGGCCCAGGAGGGGCACATGCCTCACCTCAATTTTGTCAAGAATTACTCTTTAGCCTAAGGTTTTGAAAATGTCTTTCAATGCGCCTCCTCTAAATATTTTTCAACAAAATCGTTACAACTTTGCCATTCAATTTTTATTTTGCTGTAAAATTCCTTTATATGTAAAGGAGAATTGCAAATTAATGAAAAGGAGTGAAAATAATTGCAAAAAATATGGAGGTACAAATTGGGTCTGTGTGGTGGTGCAAGTCAGACCATAGTGTTTGCTTGCACTAGGGCACAAACCTACTTGCACCTCCTTTTTTGCAATTATTGTAGTTCTTCCCACTAATTTGCAATTCCCCCATATATCTAGAGAGAGAGTGAAAGAGTGAGAGAGAGAGAGATAATATGTATTATGTTATATATTCATACAGTGTAGTTTTTTTTTTTCATGTGTACTTAAATAAAATAGGACTTCTTTGCTGCCGGTAGACTTATTGAGATGTTCAAATTATTAAGATTTTGCTAAATAATGGATTGATTATTTGAATTATTAGGGGTTTTTTCCCCCCCTTCTTCTTCCAATGAACTCGACAAACCATTGACTGGAACAAGGGCATAGACTGACTCCTTGTTTGCTTTACAAGGAAATCTAAGAAAGCATTTCCTTTATTATGTGTAATTTTTTGACATTTTATATTTTTATTTTCATACTCTTCATACTAGAGTGTTCTCTAGCCTTGAATGTTATGATTGTATATTGTAGTGATACGTATGCCACTGGAATAGTTTTGAAACATAAATAATTTTTTTACTAAACTAAACCAAACCAAACTGAGTCTAAAATCCCAATCCAACCCTACCCAACCCAATATTTTGCCTTAGTACTACTGCCCCCTCAGCTAAAATTCTTGCTCTACCACTGCCTATGACCTCTCCACCAACCATCTTGGAAGACTTCTTTTTCCACTCATTTAAGATATTTTCCCTTCCACCTTTGAGTGGCAAGAAAAAAATTCCTCCTGCCACAAGAAACTATAAAACTTAAGCTTGATATAGACTATGGCCCATTCATAACAACTTAACCTTTTTGGAAATTGGTTATCTAACATGGCATTGGACCTTTGCTTTCAGCAGATATAAGGTTCAAGTCTTTGTTGTATCAATTTGCTGTTCCATTACAATTGTTATTTTGCACTCTACTTAGTGTGACTTAAGAACTTAAGTATTTGGGGCAATTAGTTATCTAACATGATACCTCCATGGACTCAAATTTCTTCAAAACAATAATTAGCAAACCCAAGACTGGCAATTCTACCAGGACAATTTGATTATTTCAGCCTTTTAACTCATAAAATTTTAAAAACAATTAAACAACATTTATGGCTCTAAGGGTCAAATTAAAGTCGAATAGAGATAAGTAGAATACTTAAATGCCCCATTACCTAAATACTATCCTAAAGGAAGATCAACAAGTTCAAATTCCTTCGGAAGGATTTTGAATACAAATTGAAGAATGTTCTTGATTCGTCGAAAGTGAGAAATAAAATACATACGCTAGTCTAATTTTGGAGTGACACATCATTTGAACTTCTTTCTAGAAGGATTTGAATAAACTTTTTAGTCAAATCAACCAAAACACAAAGTGCAAAGATTCGAAAGGAAAATTAATGAGAACATATTTGTCATCTCGCATGCACAACACAAGGGATATAATTATAAGAGAATTAACACTTGAAAGTTGAAATCTCCACTTGAAAATACCAGGTACTAGGTAGATACTACAATTCCAATACACAAACATATGCAGAAGAATGTTTTTATTAGCATAAGAAGTATGGATTGGAACACGAATAAATGAATGAAATTAATAAACTCTTAACAACCAATGCAGTAATGTTAAAGAAGCACCTCTGAGATGCATGTAAATATAGTGCAACCGCAAACATTTTGATGTGTGCTCAGGCAACGTAAAATATATCGATGTGCATCACTTAGAAGCCGTGATGTGAAGACCACAACTTTTCTTGAAGGATCTGAGTTTGAATTCCAATCTACCACCTACAGAAAAAAAGCCAATGACAAAAGCCACAAAAACTCAACTCATGCTTGAGGTTCATTAATAACAATATAAGAAATCCCAAAATCATTATGAGCACAAGATGATATGCAACATGAATGTTATGCAATTATTGCTTACATAACTTGGTCTACTTATGTTCAAGGTTTGGTAAAAAAAAGGCTAAACTAGAAGAAGAATGTTCGGATGTTTAGGAAATTAAAAGGATGACATGAAAATAGCGATGGAAAAGACCATCATAAGAATGGGGAAGGCGGTTTCTCTTCATGAGTTTGGTATGCAGGAAGGTAGGGAGGAAGAATGAAGGTCTCGCCATTATACCCTCACATGTTAAGGCCATTTCTGAATGGAAAAGTCCCCTCCTTTCCGTCCTCTCTTTTCCCGACTTTAGGGTGGAAAGGAAATAAGTGGAGGCCTCAAGGGAAACTCCCCGCTCCTTATCTTTTCTTTTTTTCTTTGTTTCCTAATTCTTTTCCCTTTTCCTTTACCCTTCTTACAGATGATGGAAACTTGCCCCATCCACTCTCTTTTCCTTCTCCATTTCCCTTATTCCCACTCTTAAGGTCTTAACTCCTAGCAAGAACAGCATCAAGAAACATTTATGATCTGGTTTGGCAGGAAGAGAAAGAGGCAGCTCCTGCTTGGGTGAAAGAAAACAATATCTGGCAGTATTCTGTAGGACTTGACAGAATGTAAAGTAAAAATAATTACTAAATTAATAGTTCCACAGGTTTCCCAGTGTACACATCCTGTGGGTAATTCCTCTTCAGAGGTTTTAGAAACCTGAATAACTCCCAAAAGGCAAATCATTCCCAAGCATTGTATATAAACACTAATACATTAAGGGGATCAAAAGAAATTTTTTTTTTTTTGTAAGTTAACAAGAGTCCACAGAAAATAAACAAACAAGTAAAGCAGTTTTAACAGCAGGTTCCACTGGCATTATAAATAAAAAATAAAATACAATTAAAAGTTAATAATACATCTGACAACCGGCATAATGAATATTCACACAATTAAACCTCTCACCATATCAAGAGAAGACATATTTTCCAAGCTGCAAACAGCATGCGCTCCAAGTTCTAGTAGCAGAGGGTATGCCCCAAGAAACTCGAAACTCTCTGTACATCCAGCATCTAAGTAGACAGTGGCACCTTCAATGTGCTCTGATATCTGAACAATTTAAAGAGGAACCTTAAAAAAAGATTCATTCAAAAGATACATGAAAGAAATTGCAAATGAAAATGCAAGGTGGTTCAGCTTCAGCCCAATAAATAAAGAACCAAATGCACAGAAGTTACATTTTCCTGAGAAAAAAAAATAATACCAATTGATGCTTGTCTATAGAGGATAATCAACGTAGGCATAACAAAGCAAGCCTGTTTGGAATTGTTCAAACAGTTTACTGTTCTATCTACTCATGTCAAACCACCATCACCGCACAGAAGCACGGACACGCGACACAAATACGACACGGACATACCGATATGTCAATTTTAAAAAAACACAGGACACAACACATGGGGAACACGCACAAAATATACGATTTTATATATTTATCATATGTCATGGATATGAATATATCATTCAAAGATAATAAAAAAATGTAATATAACGCTTATTTTATTAATATATATATTTTTTAATTTATTATTGTATCTTAAGTTATTTAGTTTAAACTTATAATTAGTTTCATATGTGCATAATCGGTGAACACATGCATTTAAGCAATGGACATGTGTGTTCTCCAAGTGTCCGGATCTAAAAAGCTTTTAAAAAATAGAACACGTTTTGACAAGTGTTGGACACGTGTCGAGAAATGTCCAACGAGTGTCGATGTCTGACATTGACAGGACACAGAAACACCACATTCTTAGAAATGTCCGTGCTTCTTAGATCAAATCCAAGATAAATCTATTCTATCCTTTCTTCTATACTACTATATAAAGCGTGGTGTAAATGCTATCACGTATTTTACATTTTCAAAAATGTCCCACCAAGTAATGATTTTCACCCCTTTCCACCCAGTAACTGTCACATTCAATATCTGTTAAAATGATTTTTCTCATTCATCAAACTTCCCACCAAGTAATGTCACATTCAAAAACTGTTAGGATAATTTTTCTCGTTCATCAAACTGTCAAAAACTGCTAATCAGTTTTTGTCAATCATCAAACTATCTAAAAAATTTAAGCACCGGTAGTTGAAAGAGTAAGTGTCACACAAACTATAAGGCGAATACCAGAAGCCAAAACTGCCAAGGTTGAGCCAACAACCCAAAGGGATAGAGGCCAATCCAAAACAAAGGAGACCCAAATTACAAGCAGTTAAGAAAGAACATAACTGGAACACAATTGGGATGCACAACATTTGGTTTCTTTCAAATTATGATGACAAGAAAGGCTTACTTACTTGTCTGATGGAGTCAAGGCAACATATGATCACATCAACCATAGCCATATCGTTACCCAACAGTACTCACCACATAGTAAAAGTCAGAAATCTGTAAAGAATCAAGCTGATCCATAAGCAATTACAAAAAATAAAAAATAAAAAATAAAAAACAAAAAAATTCGCCATATTAGTAGATAATAATATGCAGAATTGACAGAATCTGTGATGGTTTAAGTTAAACCCCTTTTAATTTCCGAGAAAACAGATGAAATCAACTACAAATTTTCCTGCATTTTATCAGGAACCAAACGAGGGAAGGTAAACAATAACTGAAAACAAAAGGGTTGTTGGAGATGAAACCTGAAGGTTGTCTGAGGGAGATGGAATGGTAGAGATCGAAATTGCTTTGCCGCCGGCGATTGGAGAAGACGATAGGTAGTCGCCGGAAACAGAGAGATCGGAGAGGATTTTGACGACGGCACTGCTTTGTCCGACAGTGAACTGACGGTGGGAATAAGCACAGAGGAACATTTGCTCCCTAATTTATGTTTATAATTAGGGTAAATTACATCAATATTATTTTCATCCCTAATTTTAATTTGTTTCAATTAAATTTCTCAATTTTATTAAATCCAATGTGGTCTGGTCTGTTTTCATAATTGAACTATTATTGAGTGGTTTATTTATGCTAAATAAAATCCATTTTAAGAAGAAAAAAAATTCTGATCAATCAATAGATGAGTAATTCCAAACAGAAAAAATAACTGTTATAAGCAAATTTTGAGATTTTGGAGAAAAAAAAAAATTATAAATTGATTTAAGGCTACATTTGAGATGAGGAGATTTTAGTCAAAAAAAAAAAAAAATCAACTTACACATAAAAAATTAAAGATTCTTTCTCATTTGCATATCTTTCGTAGAAAATTATTTTCGAATGCTTTAGATTTTCACTTCAAACAAACTTAAATGTCGTGTTTGGTTAGGAGATTTGATGAAAGATTTGAAAAGAAAAATGAAAAAGGTAGGCAATATGTGAATAAAATATACCTACATTTCACCTAGTTTCACACAACTTTTTCCTTTTCCTTTTCATTTCCAAATCTTTCTCCAAATCTCCCAACCAAACACAACATAACCTCAGGTGGTGTTTGTTTGGAAGGATTCAATCATGGGATAGGACTAATAATCCCTTGTTTGATTGAAAATTTTTGCACCGGATTATGAATCCCAAATCTATGGGATTATTTTATCTCATAGGAGGACACAATCCATAGGATAACTCATCCCATGAGATTAGGTAGTAAAATTACATTTTTGACTCTCTATTATTTAATATCTTTTTAAAAATAAAAATTATTTATACTTAATTTATTTATTAAATTATTTATATTTATTAAATTATACTTAATAAATTATTTATACTTAACAAAATTTATTTATCAAATTATTTATACTTTGTTAAATTATTTATTTTAATAATATGGTATTAATTATACTTAGTAAAGTAAAATAAAATTTAAAAATCTCCACTACAAATTAAAATAAATTTATGTAATTTTTATTAATATTATGTTTATTTAATTTTTTAAAAGTTCTAGTAAAAAAATAAAATAAAATTTATAATTCAGATTTAATATTCCTATCATTTAGTAAATAATTTAAAAGGGCAAAATAGTCTTTTGAGCATTTGTCTTTCTTTATAAGATGCCAAACAAACATAGGATTTAATAAAATAGTCCAATCCAGACATCTAATCTCATAACTAAACAAATATAGGATATAAATCTCATCCAACCAAATAGTCTGGAGACAATGGTGATGTTTGGAAAGCGTTGGCGGAGGCTATTTTAGCCTCAACAATAAAAAAACGCCTTTTAGCCCTTTAGACCATTGATTAAAAAATAAAAATAAAAATAAAAAATAGCTCGGCTGGAGGTTGTCACAGTGACAGTCCACTGTCACTGTGACAAGTTGGTAAATTACAATTTTACCCCTTTAGATTAATTTTGAAAAATGTGAAGTTAGGGACAAATTTGTCATTTTAACTTCAAACATCATTTTAACATATTTTTCAATATACCAACTCAAATAAAAATCCATCACATCTTCCCAAACACAAAAACTAAAATAGCCTACTAAAATAGCCAAAAAAAACCTCTAAAATAGCCACTTTCCAAACACCCACAATGTATCCCAGAACTAACAGTCCAGTAGATTACAATTCCCCCATTATGCAATCCGTCCAAACAAACATACCTTCAGGGCAAACACTTAATGAATTTCTTCAAAATCACATTTTTATCCTTTAATTAAATTATCATTTAGGACAAATCTTTATTTTTTGGTTGGATATCAACCTTCGAATGGATCTAGGGTTTGCAAATGTTGGGTTCATGGCAATAATTTTTTTTTGTAGAGGTTGGGATCGTGGCAGAGAATGTCGTAGAGGTTAAGGTTTTGAAGAAATTGTGAGTAGCAAGGGTATATTAGGGTGGTTTAAGCTAAAGCAGGGATGGACTAAGAGTAGCGGTGGCAATGGAGGGCTAAGAGTGGTGGTAGCGTCGGCAACGGCAACGGCAACGACAACGGTAGTGGTGACATTCCAAGTTTTTCGGAAGAAGAAGAATAGGTGGATGAAAAATAAATTAGGATTTTGAAAATAAAAGATAAGGGCATTCTTGGATATGTGTACTGAGAACATTTTTGTTTTTTATGTATACTTTGAGAAAATATTCATTAAGTGTGTGCCCTAGCATTTGGGTGCCTTTGATTCAAGGGATTAGAGGGGGGACTAAATACTATTTGGATTGTAATTCATTGGAAGCCATTTATCCGGCTTTTGTTTTTCTTTTAGTCCGCCGAACATAGAGTCTGATTGGATTCCTTATCCCTCATATGTGGGATTACATTGTCCCGGGGGGGTGTGGGACAATTTTCATGGGATAACAATCCTATGAGATTAGGTGGTGAAATGACCATTTTGACCATCTACTATTTAATTATGTATTATATTTAGTAAAATTTAAATGTCTCAATTTAAAAATAAAATAATTTTATTTAACTTTTTATTGATGTTCTATTTATTTAATTTTTAAAAATAATTTTTTATAGATATTTTATTGATGTTTTATTTTAAAATTTTGTTTATATTTTATTTAATTTCATTATTTAAATTTTAATAGATTTTTTATTTAATTTCATTATTTAATTATTATTATTATTTGTAAAATAAATTTATTTAAAATTTTAAATAAAAAATGACATATATTTTTATTGATATTTTATTTATTTAAATTTTTAAAAATAAATTTATTTAATTGTGTAAAAAATAAAATAAAATAAATTTTTATTTAATCTAGCTAAAAATAATTAAAATATTAAAGATGTGTTTAATATTATTATTACTCAGTAAACAATTAAAAATGGTAAAATAGTCTTTTGCTCATTTATCATTATTCAGTTCGTCCAACCAAACATTAGATTTACTAAAAATAGTCATTTTCAAACATCTAATCCCATGAGAAAATAAATACAAGATACACATCCAATCCAACCAAATAGTCCGAAGGATTCATAGTCTCAAAATTCAAGTCCGATGGATTCTAATCCCCCATTATCTAGTCCATCCAATCAAACTGTGAAAATTGAATTACCCAAACTCTAAGTTAAAAACACAAGGATAAAAGGCTGTTTTTGTCCATAAAGTATGTATTTTTTTTTTTCATTTTAGTCCCTTAAGTTTTAATTTTGTCATTTTAATTTTTAAAGTTGTTAATTTGAGTCAATTTGGTCCTAGATCTAACATCAGTCTACATTAGTAATAGGGATATGAATAAAAGACCGTTTGGTCCCAAAAGTATGCATTTCTTGTTATTTTAGTCCCTCAAGTTTTAAATTTTGTCATTTTAATTCTCAAAGTTTTCAATCTAAGTTAATTTGGTCCTACCTCAAATTGACAATTTTGAGGATTAAAGTAACAAAATTTAAAACTTTAGATACTAAAATGATAATAAATGTATTCTTTACTGACCAAAATTGTCTTTTATCCAAATGTAAAATAATTTTTCCGTTATCAATGTAAACAAACATTAGAGATAGGACTAAATTGACTCAAATTGATAACTTTGATGAGTAAAATGATAAAATTAAAACTTAAGAGACAAAAATGATAAATAATGTATACTTTAATGACTAAATGTGTCTTTTATCCAAGACATAATCAGTGTGTTTGGTTTCAGTTTTCTAAAAATTGAATTTTTTATTTTTCGTGTTTTTTTATTTTATTTTTAGTGAATATTTTTAAAATTTTAAGCATTGTTTTATTACTTTTTTAGATGTACCCTACTTAGATGTATCTAAAAAGTAAAATATTTGTGAAAAAATATTTTAAAAAATTAATAAATACATAAAAATACGAAAAGTATACTGAATTTTTACATTTTTTTTTATATTTTTAGTATTTAGTAAAATTTTTAAAGATTTTTTTTCACAAAATTATACTTTTTAAGTATATTTACATAGCTTAAAATATTAAAAAGAATCAGTAAAAACAAAAAAATATGAAAAATAAGAAAGTAGAATTTTCTGAAAAGTATTTTCAAAAAACTGAAAACAAACATGGTGAATAACGTTTGAGAATATGCTATTTTATTACTAACATATGAGATAAAAACTAATATATTTGAGATGACTTTTGATTTTTTACTAAAAAAAAGTGTAAAATGTAGAGTGAAAATGAAAATTTTAATTTTTCTTGATTAGTTTGTTAACATTTTAACATTTTTAGGCTTCATTTGGGAAGTGGGTTGACTTTTTGATTTTTTGACTTTTTTCATTATTTTAGCCTGGGGCTAAAAAGCTTGGTTTAGGAATGACTTTTGGCTTTTTCGGCTTTTTTGATTTTTTTGTGAGAAAAAAAATATAATGATTATGGGTTGGATGTATATTTTGTCTTATTGGGTTAAAAAATCTATTTTATTTTTTGTGGCTATTTTAGCCAAAAAAAGCCCAAAAACCACTTCCCAAACATATTAATGATTTTTTTGGCAGAAATTAAATGTTGCCAAACGATTAAAATTAAGCCATTGTTGAGATATGGAATGGAAGGCTTAAATGTAATTTATTTTGTAAATAATGTAGATTTCATACCTTCAAAATTTTATTTTTGATTTTTTGTTAACATATGCCATAAAGGTATATGTTAAGAAAGATATTAAATGAGTTCAATTACTTCTATTTGTATAGAAAGTAATAAAAGTTTCTAAAACAATTAAGACTAAAGAGTTTTTTTTGAATAATATTATATGCATCAATTAGTATACTAATTAGTGTATCAATTGATGATGTGATAAAATTTAAAAAGTTTTTAGTATTTGTAATTTGTATAATGATTGGGGTCAATAATAATGTCATAACTAGTGTTGATATATTAGTTAATATACTAATTGATACATGTAATATTACTTTTTTTTTTTTTACATGGAGATCAAAATACCCTCTTCGTAATTTCCTCAATTTCACCCATTGATTTTCCTTCTATTATTTTATTTTTATTATAATTATATAT